ATAAAACTTTAAATTTTTAAAACTTCCACTAACAGCATGAAGCACTTATCTCTCCTTAGAGCCCAAGGAATTTTTAAGCATGCCTCATTGGCCTAGTGGTATCAAGAGCTTTAATTTTTTTGTATTTTTTTTTCTCCAGAGAAGATTTATAAGCAGTGGGGTAGATGGTGCTGTTCTCCAGCTGTCTGTCTTGAGGAGTTTCCTCACTGGACTAAACACAACATAATTTCTCTGTAATGTTACTGTGGAATCTTGGAAAAACATAATGTTCCTCCTGTTATGTACAACAGATTCTTCTTTAATTGCAGCAGCTAAAAAAAGCTTCTATCTTTATAGCTGTGGAACCAAAGCGACAAAGTTTATGGTCTTTCACTGTCAGCAGGTTTATGGAAAATTTATAGTATATGCTCTGAGTTTACCATTTTTTGTAATACTTACTAAAGTAAGTACAATACTTACTAAAACTGCTGCTGAAAAATGCCTGTTATAGAATGGAGTTTTTTTGTCTTCAAATTTTCCTATAATTCTAATAGCCTTTGTTTATATTTATATATTTAATTTATACATATACTTACATATGCATGTATATACTTTATGTATATACTTTTGCATGCTATACTTTATATAGTATTTTTTGGCTTATCTCCTTTTCCCTCAAACTTCTGTTTTATCTTGTCCAAAATGCAAAATATGCTCAGGCTGTTCCTTTATACTTTAATTTTTATTTTTTTTTTAATCCTATAAAATGAACTGATTTTGTTACAATTCTCTGACTGCCTTTCAGGACTTGTAGTCAATAGATAATTATTGATATTTATGGCACTGAAAACCCCCAAACTTCCTTCCAGTTATTTAGATTAGTTAAAATAATATCTTCTATATTTTTTAATTATATGTTTTCTTTTTTCAGTTTCTGAGATCGCTTCACTGGTTCCACATTTGCTATCAGTGGAAGAAAGCTACTTTTGGGGTTTTTTTAAGCTTAAGTTTTGAAGTGTCAGACCCATGATCCCATTGAGCCAAACTGCAGTATGCATAGTCTGCTAACTTAATCTGATCATGGTTGTCATTTGTCGACAAATTAAAAAAAAAAATAAAATTTAGACACAAACTATTAATCAGTTAATGAAAATAAGCAGAATTTTCCTTTAGAGACATACCTAAATATTTTTCAGCTGTAAATGATGCTAGCTTAACCACAGAGCAACAGAAATGTGATTTAGTTTTAATGTTGCTGCATTTGATATTTTGTTAGTGCAATCAGAGTAAATTGCCCACTCTGGAATATCCGAGTTGAGCACTGCAACTCCAGCCTATCTAGAAAAGGAAAACAGAAAGGTTGAAATTTTTAAGAGAGGAACACAGGATTTAATCAGTCAGTTTCATTTATCTAAACTATTAATTTCTCATTTCCATGAGAAGTGTAGTGCCTGAGTCCACACTGTTTCATCACAACTAATTGTCATTAAAAATCCCTGTGTATGAAGATGCAGTTTCTGCTTGGACCTTCTTTGCTAAAATGTCTGTGCTCCTCAGTCACACTGGACTAGTCCCTCCTACTTCTTCAGTATTCATCGAATGCTGTTTCCTTTCCTTCCTGTGCAGGCAGAGATCTAGATGGATCAAAGCCAAATTTTATTTTCATATTCCAGAACTTCAGAAATAGAGCAAAACCCTCAATCTATACCTGATCTCAAGTTATCAAATCTTCAGATTTTGTAGAACCAGTTCCTCTCTATTTTTATGTGTCTATGTATCCCCTGTAGTACTCCAAAGCAGTATTAGACCTTCTTTAAGGTGAGAGAAATACATAGGGCAGCTTGGCTGCAGTGGAATACACAATAAGTGAGGAATTACTGAATCTGAGAATGTAGATTTCCCCATTTTGAACACATCTGTTTAGCACTGGAAAGGAGGGTGCTGCAGCCAATTAATGTTTTTATTTACTCTCTCCTGTTACTACATGTAATTTAAAACAAAAACCCCAGAGTGAATGAGGCAAGCTCTTCTATATGAGATCTGCATAGTTTTAAAGGCATACATGATATGGGATTTAGAAAAATCAAGTCTTTGCATAAACTTTTTGCTAAGCAGCACTAAACATTATTGCTACATCCTGCTATATCCCATACTGTAATATTTCCATATTGTAGAGCACGTAAATTCTGACATGTAATAAATCAGACTAAAGTGAGTGGTGAAGTAAGTCCTGACCTTTAAGCACAAATACCTAGATCTCATTTTTCTGAGAGGTGAGTCCACAGGTGGGTGCACTTAATGCCATCTCTAAAGCAAGGTGAAGTAACAGTATTTGTTGATTTGGAGTAAGCAGCACAGGACAAGAAAGAAAACAACTCTCTGATAACTTACTGCATTTCATAGTTTCTCTGTATCTAGAAGTCCCATGTATAGTAAGCAGAATCAAAACCTGTTGATTTTTTTTCCCCCCAGTATTTAAAAATGAAAAATTCAGCTTCTTCATGGGATTTGGCTTGACACGCCCCTCCACCTCACCCTTTCTTGTTCTCTTGCTTTTCTTCCAAAGGAAAAGTAAGTCAGACTTTTCAGGATGCTGTCACAGAAGTTCTCAGCCAATCTCTGAGATCTTGTTTGTGGCACTGACATTTTTTTCTCTCAAGATGTGTACAAGGCTGTGTGCTGCATGGATACTGCAGCTGTCTGTTGCTGAGCCCTTCCAGCGGGAGGACTGTAGCTTGTGGAGAACTGCCCATGGGGTCCCCAGTGTAAATGGTACACAGAAGTGATGGTGGTTCAAGTTAACCTTACAGTATGTTTAATGCTGTTTGCATCTGATGGAAATTATAGATATTTGACTCCCTCGAAATGTACCACCTCCCAAAAGTAATTAATGAGGTTCTTAAAACAGGGCACACTCAGAAGTCAACTCTGCTTGCTTATTCTGTTTTCCATCTTCTGCATAGTTATTACACTGGAACACTTTATTTCATGTCAATATATTAGTTTTAACAGAGCATACACGTTGGATACTGCTTTAGATAAAAATTCAAAGTCTATTTTGTAGCCCACTAGCGAAGTGGATACTTTTTACGGCAGGTAGATTCACATTAGTTCTCAGATAATGCAGCTTAATAAGAGATAATGCCTTTCCTGCGTGTTTCATAGCACAAAATGCAATGTGTAAGGGTGACTGGCTTAAACTTGCAGCTGCCATTCATTTCAGCCTGTGCAGCCCTGCAGCCTGGCTGCTGAGAGCTGTGCTTACACTGAGAGCTGTGTTCTCTGAGCCTCCGCAGATGCACGGTCGCCCACTCTAAGAGAATGTGCTCACACTCTTTTTCTCTCACACTGTCTGGCACACTTTCAGCATAACTCTTGGAAGACTTTCTGAACTGCTGGGTATGGTCATCTGATTATTTTTTTTTTTTAACTGGGAACATGTTTAGTCCAGTGTTATTTAAACAAGCTTATCTCTTTGATCAAAGTCTACAATCTGAAATTTGAACAGGGTAGGGAGGGTGGCGGGGTGGGTGAGGAAATATATCAAGTACATATTTATGCGTGTGCTGATGTCTCAGCTCTGTGCCTGCGAAGGTAAAAACATATATTGCTTCGGAATATTCTTCAAAAAATAAAAACTTCGGCTATTTTTGTAGAAGTTCTGAAAGCACAGTATTATTTCTAAAGTAAAACTGGTTTTAGGAAACTTTTCTTGACACTTCTACTGACCTGAATATTCAGTTTTTCAGTTTCTTGGGTTTTTTGAAGGTTGAGCCAAATAACTGTGGAGTTGTTGAAGTATAGCATAGACTTTGCTAGTATTCAAAGCACACTAGCTGGAGCCCATATATTAATGCATTTAGGGTTGACATTACCCTATTTCATTGACTGAACCGCAGACCACAGCAGTGAAGCTGGAGAGCTTGAAACAGTTTCTAGAGGTTTTCATTTAGCTCGTTCAGGAGAACTGGTTTGTGCGAAGTTAAAATTATATGGAATGAGATGGCAAGAAGAAGCATGCATGCCACACCTTTTCATTATGTTCTCGCTTTTTCTTTTTTTTTTTTCTTTCTAAATATAACTTTGAGAGACATGTCAGGGTTTTTTTAAGTCAATCCCGTTTGATTATTTTAGATTACTTGATTTTGTAGTCTGATTTCAGAATTCAAGTTTGCTAAGCTTTTGTTCGCAAGACTAGGAAAAAGAATTTCCTGTATTCAGTTTATGTATCGTGCAATCAAATAACCATCTCCTAACTGTAGAAAAATGTGAATGATGTTTATTTCATCATTTTACAGCATAAAAAAGAAGCAGGCATAATTTTCTAGGTTAGTCTAAAGCTTTTCCTTGCTATTTAATGTTATTATAGTACTCTAGTAACCGCAAGTTGCTCTTACTGTTGAAAGCATATTAGAAATCTCTTCTGCATAGGTATCATGCACACTTCATTTTTGTTAGCAGGCTTTATTGACTGGAGCTTGCTCCCCACATGCCCAGACACACAACCACACACAGACACACACAATGAATCAAACAGGAGGAGAGATAAGCACAGATAGATTGGAGCCTGCTGAGGAAATAAAAGGCAGCAATCTGACTGACCACTGGACTAGCCTTCCTGGTTGGATTTAAGTGTTCTTTCACGTTAGTTGCTGCAAAGCACTGTACCCTGAAGTGAAAAATTAAACGATTAGTAAGAATGAAGTAACATTTAGACGGACAATTCTTTGGTATAACTCCAAAACTAATTGTTTCTGAAGTGATGTTTAAACCAACGTCGGCACAAGGCAAGGGCTCCTGGCTCGCAGCCAGCACCTTGTAATGCATATTAGCGCAGATGAGGAGTTCCTAAAAGTTAGAGAGAGGGAGAGGGAGGGAAGAGAGAGAGAATGTGCGTTTTCAGTGCTCACTCTGCATTTGTTTGTATCCTCCTCCTTGCCGAGGTTAGAGGAATACCTGTGTAGTGCTGCTTTATTATGATTTCTGCTGAGCCTCAGAATAGGTTCTGGTATTTTTTTTAGGTGGACTGCCAGCTGCTGATCTCGCTGTTGACAGTAAAAGCAGATATGTTCCTTGCTCACTGCCATTAGTACTGACCATGACCCTTCACACCAAAACCTCTGGAGTTACCCTGCTGCACCAGATTCAAGGCACTGAACTGGAGACACTGAGCAGACCTCAGCTGAAGATTCCCCTGGAAAGATCGCTCAGCGACATGTACGTGGAGACCAACAAGACAGGAGTTTTTAACTACCCAGAAGGAGCCACCTATGATTTTGGTACTGCGGCTCCCGTCTACAGCTCTACTACGCTCAGTTATGCCCCTTCTTCTGAATCTTTTGGGTCCAGCAGTCTGGCAGGATTTCACTCACTGAACAGTGTCCCACCGAGCCCGGTGGTGTTCTTGCAAACGGCACCCCAGCTCTCACCCTTCATCCATCATCACAGCCAACAGGTACCCTATTACCTTGAAAACGATCAGGGCAGCTTCGGGATGAGGGAAGCTGCTCCTCCAGCCTTCTACAGGTAAATGCTACAGAAATTTTTCTTTCTTATTTAAGCAGAAAAAGTAAGCAGAATTTAAGCAGATCTGAGGAAATTAGAATGTGGAAATCTGTTATGCCCTAATATTTGCTTTTTCTATAAAGATGCATGTGATTTAACTGAATCATCGATATCTAGGCTGTAAGAAATAGCGTAGAATTAAACAAACTGTAATTCACAGCCCACTGTGACTGTAAGCTGTAAATTTTGAAAACCTGTGTAAAAAACCAATCAGATAATGAGCATAAATGTTTCCTGCAAAAACATGAAATGGTAATTGATTAAAGAATGGCAAATGACCTCAGAATACTGTCTGAAGTATACTGAAAAGACTTTCCACCATCACACATTTTCCGGTGTGAGTGGTTGTTTGTTCAGCTCTTAGCTGGTAGTAAGGGTATTTTTCTCCTCTGCAGTTGTCCTTTGCAGTGTGAGAATTGGCTTACAAAGGAAGTTGTTCAGAAGCACTATATCCTTCCTAATCAGTGTTAGAGTTGACTCAGTGACAGTGTTTCAGTCAGTAACCACCTTCCTGAGCTATCCAAAGAGCTGTGTGCATGTTGACATGAATTTTTTATTTGGAGGGTAATATATATTAACTGTAAACCTGACCTGCTGCTTTTCAAAAGAGGCTCGTTCAGTGGGCTTTTTAATATTTTTGTCCCTCAATAGGAGGTTGGCTCTTGTTTTCTCTTTTTGGTCTGAAATAGAAAAAGTATCATTGAAAGAGGGAAATAAATTTCCTTGGATTAAATATTTATTGTCAATTGTGAAAAAAATTACATTTTTTTTAGAGTAAGTAGCTGAAATTGATAGAATTATAGCTTCTAAAAAAAACCCAAAAAACATCATACATGCCTATACCCATGCTGTTAACGTTTTGTGCAGTGTTTATACCATAGTTTTGCATCAGCTTATTATTCTGGGCTTCAGTGAATCAAAGTTAACAGTTAGATGTATTTTTTTTTTCTGAACTCTGTGTCATTCTCTGTTGATTTGAGAGATACAGGTGAGTTTATAAGAAGTGTAACAACTCTGAACAAATAAAAGCGAGTAATATTTTCCATGTTGAGGGCCAGACTCTGCTAGATTTATTTGCACTACATAACGTGTTACCATGACCAGCAATATCTGTTCTTAAGTTTAACTCAGCCTGACTAAGAATCTGGTAGTAAAATCTGGTCCCAGAAAAAACCAAAGATTGCACTTTTTTGCAACAGATTAGGCAGTTTTGGGAAGCAGACAGAATAAAGACTGGTGAAATGATAGATAATGGTTATGTTGAATTGTCCAATACAGTGATCTGTAAACTGAATTGATTCAAACAAAATTCATTTTAGTGCAACCAAGTACAGTTCTTCCTGGAAGAATGAGTACATGTCAGAGCATAGTGATCTTGAATGATTACCAGTGACTTGAAAGTTAAACTGCAGTTAGTGCTCAATTAAAATACCTTTTTTACATTAGTGCCCCATGCAAATCTGTGGTGAAAAGTGTGCAAACAACCTTATGCATATGGAGTAGTGAGTTTGTGAAGTTGAAATACCCAGGCAGAAAATGTTCTATAGTCAGCTATTGTACTGCAGGAGGAGTCAAACCTAAGAATCACCTGGACGTAGAAGTTGCAATGGAAATAGTGTTCTTTTAAGTTTTAAGCACTGAATTGAGGTGAGACTCTTCAAAATAAAATTAAGGTACTTTTTTAGTTTAACTACTCGAGCAAATGTGTGAGACCAGAGCTATATACCCTTTTTCCTGACATTTCTGATCAAGGTTGTGTGTCACCCTTGGATATGTGTATTAGCCATTTGAAATTGCTGAGGCTTAATGCAGCAGTAATTAGGTGAATTTATGATCTTGGATATGCCAGAAGGTTTATCTGCATACAGTGTTATACAAATGATTTAATGGCCCCTTCCAGCCATAACTCTGTGGAACGCATCTTATGTGGTACTAAGAAATGTGTTTCAAAATGCTTGCTATGATTATCTTTTGTTAGCAGGCAAGGTACTGTTGGAAGTAAATTGAAAAAAAAAACCTTTGCTTTTTTTGCTTTTCATTTTTTTGAGGTTGTATTTACAAAGTTTTCACCCTCACAACATTAAACATTAGATCTTTCTTCCTGTGTTTTGGCATGAGCCCAGTCACCAGTAGTCTTGTCAAAAATAATTTAAATAGGTGTTCACTTCCTGGGAAATATTTAAATGTCTAGCTATTGTGTTTAAGAATAAGTTCTTTAAAAATCTTCCAATTTACTTTATTTATTTGACTAGTCTCATTTATTTCAGTTGGGTTATGGGAGAAAAGAGAGCATAGGGTAGTGTGATCTGGCAATGAATAAATTGATGCTGGAGATTGAAAGATGTCTAACTATCAAAACAGTGACTTTCTGGAACAACCTACCAGTAAGAGTGATAAAACAAAAAATCTTAAAACAGAAGCCCTAAAAAAAAGTTGTAATGAATCATAATTTGTTTGTGATATGGCTGCCTGATTCTATAAAAAGTTATGTAACCTAAGACCCAGTAAAACTCCTCTGCAATTCTCATTTACCTTTCTATGTAACTTAATTGTGCTCTTCGGCTTTTAGGACAGAAATATTTGCATTGTATCACCCTATTCTACTCTGAATTTGACATGCAAGTGCTGCATTCAGTGATACAAGTATCTGAGACAATAAGTAAACATTATAGATTGGAGCCGAGGTGATACTTTGTTTAATACTTGGACAAAACTTTAAAAATCTTCAGTCACAAAACTAAAAAATTACTGTGTGTGATAAGGAAAACTTTTAATGTCTTTTGATTTTGTTATTAAGTGTTCAAAATCATACTGCCTATAGACAGATATGTATTAATAGATGTATGACTCTATGTCTGCTAATTCTTAAGTTAAATTTTGTCTTTCAAATAGTGGCTCTTTTTCCAAAAGTGTAAGTCTCTTGATGTGAGATACTGTTAGGCTTCTGTATCTAGCTGAAGAACATAATGATACAAGAAAAGAATGCAATAAATATATTAATGCCCCTTCTGGAATCTCTAAATCATTAGGCATCAGAATTTGAGAAGCGGAAAAAAAAATATTAATTAACTCAAATTGTGCTGTCTATACCTAGACCCCTTTTATGTCTGATCCTGTGGCTGTTTTTATAGGTAGACAAACTAAAATACTTTTCTCTTATCTGACAATGTCAAATCTCATTTTTTTATTGTATTGATAATTTTTAGTAGTGGGGTTTTTTTGCTATTAAATGATGACCAGTGGTGGATAATTATTACAGGAAATCTTGTACTCATGACTATTACAGTAAATTAACAGAAATGTTTCTTCTGTTCTTAACTATTGAATTCAGGTAATTTCTGCTGATTTCCTCTCACTTTTTAGCAAGCTTTGATCCACTCAGGGAAAAATTAAGGCTTTCAGCAGCTAATTTACCTCAATAGATTCCTACAAGCAACAGCAGAACATCCTTTTTGCTCTGCCAGTGTGTGATATTTTTGTGTCATCCCACTGAGTCTGCACTCCTCAGATCTGAAGTAAAATCATGCATATACTTAAGGCCCTTTGTAGCCTGTCTTTGGTGTTGGTTCCAAATTCAGCCAAAAAAACCACCCAAAAAACCTAAACCTTCCAGCTCCCTGATGAGAAAGCTGTCTGTCACTCTGTAGTGAGGGGCAGAGGCTGGGCAAATCCATGTACAAACAGAATAACAGATGATTTGCTCCCTCACTTTTAGTGGCTAGTTTTTATCTTCTAATACCTCAGGCTCTATGTTTAGATTAATGTAATAAAGTATTTGTTTAGCATTAGCCACAATTATCATACTGCAATTGGGTCTGCTGTTCTAATTAATATGATCACAGCTTTAATTTTACTGCTTGCTAAAATGGAAAAAGATTACAAATGTAGATTGATACCTCTTCTGTTGTAATTCAGAAATCCGTCCATCCAAAAAATAGTTACGTAACCAAATACATAAACTTTGCTGACCTTGCCTGATTCATTATGAAGTTTTCTAGGTGTTCATGTTGAGTTCTAAACGAAGAAGATTTTTTCCAAATTTTAAAATTAGAAGGGTTAAAATGAATACAAAGTTCAAAGATGATTTTTCTTATTTTTTTTAAATGCAGCATGAAGTATTTCATAACATGGTGTGTGATGTAATGTAGTGTTTTGCTTTGCTTTTTTGTTTATTTTTCTCTAAAACGTCAATCTGCTCAGAGGTCGTCTCTTGAACAGTTCAAGTGTTCAGGCAGTTTCTTGAAACTTGGAGTATTCATGTTTTCAGGCCTTGTGCTGATATCTCTGACAATTTTTCAGCAATAGACGACTGTAATAAACGAGGCAGGAAAACATGGAATTGTCTCATGGGTAGCTTCTTATCTGATGGAAATGTTGTAAAGATAAACCCATTAAGTGTTCTGAGATGCTCACACATGACAATTATGAGGGACTTGTACAAATCAACTTTGGTGTTTCTGCAGCCCTTCTTGGAGCTTGTGCTGATGTGAATCCTGCTGCAAGTGTGCTTGCAACATGAAATCACCAATCCACATTGTTGAGGAGCACATGTGGTCAGTGCCTGCTTGTGCCTCTGAATAAGGGCAGACAGTGGTGGAAAGGAGTAAAAGAGCTGTTTTTCCTTCCTCATTCCCCTCCTTTCTGCCAAGGCAGGAAGGTGGATCTCATTTGCTGTCTCTTCTTATTGAAGAAAACTTCATTTCTGCAGCAGTTGTATTTTTTGCATAAACCACAGATGTAGGAAGTGCTCCATATACCAAGCCCTTTCCAAAAGGACTTGAAATTTGTGTCTAAACCCATGGTTGTTCAGACAGACCATGTGAATGGGGTTCATCTGCTCAAATGCAGACACTTAGGTCTGTATTAATTTTTCCATTCCTTAGGCATCTGCTGCCATTTGAGAGACCAGAAGGTCAGAAGGGTCTAGCAGATATGACACAGGACCTGCTGGATAGCTAAAT